TGGGACATTCCGAGATCTAGAAGAGTACATAGAACTTTTGGGAAGTTGTTCGATATTCTGTGAAGTTCTCGAAATTTATGGGAAGTTCCCGGAACTTCTGTACAGTTCCCAGAGCTTCTGAGTAGCTAGTGAAATTTCTGGGAGGTTCTCTAATATTTTTAAAATTTAGTTTTAAATTTATGTTAAGTTCTTTGATTTTCTGGAAAGTTACAGGATTTTTAAAGATGTACTCGAAAATTATTAGGTCCCTCGATAATTCTGGGAAACTTTCGGAAATTCTAGAAATTGCTTGAAATTTTCGGGAAATTTTCTGAATTTCTTGGAAGTTTACGGAATTTCTGGTAAGGGCTTGTTCATAAACTACGTAGACAGTTTTTTGAGATTCTTGACCCCCCCCCTCCCCCTGCGTAGACAATTGTCCATACAAATTTTTTAAAATTTGTATGGGCCGAGGATAATTGTCAACCCCCCCCTCCCCTAAACTGTCTACGTAGTTTATGGACAGCCCTCAGATCTTCAGAAAAATTCTCGGATTTTTTTAAAGTTGTCGGAATTACCGGGATGCTCTGTAATTTCTAGAATGTTCTGCGAAGTCCGAGTACGTCTAGAATGGGCCAAGTATTCTTTAACTATTACTAGATTTTTTAGGGTCGTTCCGAGAGCTCCTTGGCTATTGTTAGATTATCAGCGAAGTTTCGAGAAATTCCGTATATTTAAAGAAAGTCATGCTAACTTGAGGTAAGTGACTGAAATTTCAGTTGACATTTCGGAGAACTTCAGGGACGTTCAGGGAACTATTAAAGAGTTCAAATACGGCTAGGATTTTCAAAGATCTTAAAATGAGTTTTCTAGATATCTTCACCAAAATTACGGGATCTTAGGGAAGTTCCGAGAACTTTAAGTCATTTAGAAGGAAACTGTATTTGGCAGTGGCGTCGCCTTAACCTCAATCTACCTGTGCACCAACTCTCAAAACATGAACAATTATCAAAATATTGCTTGCAATGGATAGATATCGAGTTAACTAGAAGATTGAGTGTGTTTTTCAACCGATTCGAGTATGAATATGGCATTAAATCTGTTAAAAGTTGCTGCACAGGTAAAAAGTGAGGTTACGCGACTCCACTGGTATTTGGTAAATTGCTAACCAGTAGTTTCGAAGTTTTATTGAAGTTCTAGAAACTCATCTAAAGCCTCGCCAAAAGCTCCCTGAAATTCTTAGGCATTGAAGTATTCTTTGAAATTCATGCAACTTCCCTAAACTTCTCGGAACTACTCTGAAAATTTCAGAACGAGCCAGGAAAGGAAAGTTCTCGGAACTTCATTTAAGTTATCGGAATTTCCCCGAATTTCTGTCAAATTTTCTGGACATTTCGTATTTGATAGTTTTGCTAGACTTACTAATGGAGCCAAACAACAATTTCCGACCTTTAAACCTCATCCCAGTTCCAAAAATAATATATGGTAGTGTTTAAACAAATATTCATGTTTTTGCAGTGTAGAAATTAGGTTTTTAATGTTTTGAAATTTTCTATAAATCACTCTTGAACCACATTTTTTAAGGTCTTATCAATGTTGAACTATAATTTGTTGTGGAAAAATTAAAAAAAAATGATCCACCCTACTCAAATGGTCATCTGGCATCTGAGAGGGTGCCACCGTGAAATCCGTCCATGGCAGCATGGGACTTGCGGTTTGTGTTAAACTATCGTTTCTCACCCAACCAAGGCTGCAGCGGACACCGAACCATCGAAGAGAATGACGAAGCCTTAATGAAACTAGAATTCCAGCGAGAGATAACAGAACCAGTTTCCAGACCATTCGATTTCTGAACCCGAGAATCAACAACAGGCAACGAGCATACAGCTTTGTCTTCGTCGTTGCAACAAGTTACGACATTGAATATCTGATGAGAACTTCCATAACCACATGTAGAGTGACATTGGACATTCACTATGGAAATAGTTGTCGCTTACAACGAAGTGGAGCGTTCTGTAGATTCTCCTAAGCAGGTCGGATTGTCTGGATCGACAAATTCTGGATAATCGACTGTCGAGATTTGCGGAACTGCACATTTATTGCCAAATTCTATTCCCGCGAACCCTTAAAAGTACGACTCCTTGGACACCCTGAGGAACAGCTGCAGGTCGGCTTCACCCTCTGGTCCGGTGAACAGCACCGTCAGCCGCCAGTAGCCTTCCGGGATCATCTGCGGCATGCTCTTCGGTTTCACCACAATTTTTGTACACGTCACATCGATTATAAAAATACCCATATTGAGGAGGTATTTTATTTTTATTTTTTTCTGATTTTCTGTAACCGGATGCCGCCATCTTGCAATTCAAAATGGTGTCAGAAATGGATTTCCGGTTTCTGCGGGTCACTCCGATTCCAAAAATATCAATATTGTGGGGTATTTGACAAATAACGATAAACCGCGTAAATTCCGAAATCCCCTTTAAACAAACCGGTTAATTTCCGAAATACGCGTCTCCAGTGTAACATAATGTTATGCTTTTTTTCTTTTTAATTCTACTACTATTGTATCACTTTCACTATCACTCCTTTAAATTTATCGAACCTCTTAACGGAATCCCTTTATGAAGAACTTTGAGTGTGTTGGTTTATTTCCTTTAAATTCCGCTTATCTTTTGACAGATACGCGTATTTCGTCTACTACTTGCAGACGTCATCAGTGCCAAGTGGTGTTGAATACTTGGCACTGGTGAAGTCTGCAGTAGACGAAATACGCGTATCTGTCAAAAGATAAGCAATTATAACGAAATTTAAATGAAATAAACCAACACACTCAAAGCTCACTTTCACTATTTACTTTCACTATCACTTAAAAAAAACTATAACAGATACATAGTTGAAGATGCTAATTTCAAATAACAGACTGTAGTGGTAATTTTTATACGATAGATGGAGTAGATGAAAGCATAGAGTTGATAGTTCCGTTAGAGTACGGCAGTGTGAAGATTGCATATAGATATTAGAATAGCGAGCTAGGACAACTTTTAAGGAAAGTACAAATCGGTTTTTTCATCTCTCTTTACCAAACTCCCCCTTTGGAGAGGGATGGTGAGGGGTGTCCCCCCCCCCCCCCCGTATGTGCGTTTTGCGTAGTAGTAGAAAAAGGCGGAACAAGCCGAGATGAATTCGAGTATGGAAACAGAATGGTTTGTGTTTTAGCTGCATTGATACAAATCTTCCAGCTCTTGAAATAGTCGGACAGAACATCCAGGCCTGACTGTAGTTTACTCGCCAGAGCGCGGATCACTTGACCCTTATAGGCATCTGCGAACTGACAGGTTACCACCACTTGGTAGAGGAGGAACGTTTGACGTGAAAATGTTGTATAGGATAGGCCCAAGCAGGCTACCCTGAAGGACCCCTGCATCAACGTTGAACGTATAAGAGGGGACATTTTCAAGTAGACCTGGAATGATCTGCCCGACAATTAGTTTTTGATGATCTTCACGAGGTAGATCGGAATGTTGTATCGATGCAGCTTGTACACTAGGCCATCATGCCAGACATTGTCGAATGCCTTCTCAACGTCCAACAATGCCATAGCAGATGTATTGGAAACGGACTTGTTCCGCTTGAGATGTCAGTAGCCCGTGCGAGTTGGTGGATAAAAGAGTGGCCTGTCCTAAACCAGCAGACGACTGAGTATCAACTTTTCGAATAGCTTCGAGATGGAGGACAAGGGGGGAGATAGCTTTTGACACTGGTAGGATCTTTGCCAGGCTTGTGTATTGGAATCACTTTGGCTAACTTTCAGTATGCCAAGCCCCAAACATTTGCTGAAAATAACGGTAAGATGGTTGAAGAAGTCAATACTCAAGTTTTTCAACTCGAGGTTGACTACACCATCCATACCCACGGCCTTCAAGTTTTTAGTGCTTCTAATAGCTACTATCAAAATGAGTTGAGGCACAAAAGCAGCGCTGTTTTATAACTTTTCAGATTCTAGCAGCTGGGCTTGGGGAGAACGTTTATTTCATGAAAACAGTGCAAAAATATCACATTTTATTTGTACACTTTTCAACAGTTTTTTTTTTATAAATAATTGAAAAAGCGTTTATGGTTGCAGATTATGACAGTTATTTCCTATCGATTGGTGTATTTGGATTTTAATTTCATCCATAAATGACAAAGTTATAAGCGTTCAAAACCTTACATCTTTTTGTGACGGTCGCAATTTTAGATTTTCGATTTACCCCAAGTACCTTCCCGTAAGACGTAGTCTTCGTCAAAAATCACAGCGCTCCAGGATGAGTATCAAGATATGACCACTTTTAAGCAGGCTTGCTTCTACTCACTTGCTATAAAAACATGATTTTCTGAATTTTGAAAGCATTAGATGGGGTCTGAGGGGCCCCAGAGTGGTCATCTAGAAGATCCGGAACATCCGTAAATGTAATAAATTCGTAAAACTGATCGTAGAGCTCCACGGTTTTTTGAGAAATGCTTGTAAATGTGTTATCCAAATAAATTTGGATTCGTGGCTGGAATATAAACTCTGGGAACTACAGAGTGGTCCTGTGGAAAATCCGGAATAACCTTAAAAGCAGGGATGCTTCCACTCACTTGCTATAAAAAAAATGATTTTCTGAATTTTTAAAATCATTAGATGTTATAATGATATTTTGTACTTGTTAGATACAAGAAAAGGTTGAAATGCAAGTATTTGACACATGAAACCTGTTAAATTCGCTTTCAGATAGTCACAATCAGCGATTTTACGACTCGTGAGCGCTCACTTTGAGTGAACGCTCACGAATCATAAAATCACTTATTGTAACACTCTGGTAGCAAAATTGACACCAGGTTGAGTCTAGGTTCTCCTAGCAACGATTGGATAAAAATACAAGGCATTGCTTGCCTGATATCAGGTAATTAGGTTTCCAATCTTGCTATTCATTGCCCTTTTGAGCTGCGCGGTCTGTGGCTTTCAGATCCGACTCAACCCTTCAACACCTTCCTACACGATGTCGAACGAGCGGCGAATTAAATCGCTGAAGACGAGGCAGAAGAGCCTCCTAACCTCGTTCGGGCTTATCAAGTCGTTCGTCGATGGCCACCAGGAGGAAACTGGTGCTCACGAGGTTCCCGTCCGGTTGGAGCACCTTGTGGCCATCTGGAACGATTTCAACGCCATGCAAGCCGAGCTCGAAACGCTGGATGAAGCGGCCATCGAGGCTCACTTAAAGGAACGTATCGAATTCGAGACGTCCTACTTCAGGGTGAAGAGGTTCCTGCTCGTCGTCAATAAAAACGAACCAACGTCGCCACGCACTTCTTCGTCTTCTTCTTTAGCCACGCAAAGCCCTCTGTCGTCGCATGTAAGGTTGCCCGACATAAAACTGCCAGTTTTCGCCGGAAATCTCGACCAGTGGTTGAACTTCCACGACCTCTTCGTTTCGTTGATCCACTCGTCGCAAGAACTGTCGAACATCCAGAAATTTTATTATCTTCGCTCGTCGCTCTCTGGGGATGCTTTGAAGCTCGTGCAAACCATCGCTATTAGTGCCAACAATTACCAGGTCGCCTGGAATCTGCTATTGGACCACTACCAGAACCCCGTACGCCTAAAGCAGTCATACGTCGACTCACTGTTCGAATTTCCTTCCGTCAAAAAAGAGTCCGCTTCGGAGCTTCACTCGCTGGTCGAAAAGTTCGAAGCCAACGTGAAAGTCCTTCATCAGCTCGGGGAGAAAACGTAATACTGGGACATTCTGCTGATCCGCATGTTGAGCATCCGTTTAGATCACGCATCGACACTCAACGCCATATCGTTCCAAAACCTAACGACGTTCATTCAACGCCGAGTTTCGGTTCTTCAAACCATCGGAAAAACCACCGAGACTCCGTCACCGATCAACTTCTACAAGAAACCGGTTCAACGAGTGGTTGCCAGTCACGGGGCAAGTCCAACCAACCAACGAAAGTGTGTTGCTTGCTCGGATCATCACCCTCTGTACCAATGTATGTTTTTTTTTTTTCAAAATTGAGCGCTGATGAGAAGGATAGAGAAGTTCGTCGTCACCAATTGTGCCGTAACTGTCTGCGTAAGGGACATATGGCCAACGAATGTCCGTCTTCGAGCACTTGTCGCAAATGTAGAGGTCACCATCACACTCAGCTTTGCCAAGGTTCCGCTGCAACTAGCATGAAAGTTGCTTACTTGCCTCACCCGAAGGAGAATTCAACCCAAAAATCAGTCGAACAACCATCCGCTTCGGTATCAGCAACCCTCAACGAGCAGGTCAGCTATGCTTCCACTGGACGCGGACACAAAAGAGTACTGCTCGGCACCGCTGTAGTCATCGTAGTCGACGATAATGGGACGGAACATGCTGCAAGAGCGCTGCTAGACTCAGGCAGTGAATGTTGCTTCGCCACAGAAACGTTTTCGCAAGTTGTCAAGGTCCAGCGTAAGCGAATCCACCTTCCTAGCGCCGGAATAGGACAATCTTCCACGGAATCACGCTTCAAGTTCCTCTCGAAAATCCGCTCTCGTGTTTGCGACTATAACACCACTGTTGAATTTCTCGTGCTGCCGAAAGTCGCAATCTGTTTGCCCTCAGCTGCTGTCGACACATCGTCTTGGGAGATTCCACCTGGCATTCAACTAGCAGATCCTGCCTTTTGCCGAACCAGCCCAATTGATCTTATTCTAGGTGCGGAAGTCTTTTTTGAATTGATCAAAGTCTCGGGTAGAATCCAACTTGGTCCTGGTCTGCCAACGCTCATCAATTCCGTCTTCGGCTGGGTCGTCTCCGGGAAAACCACCCAGTGTCCATCAATCATTCCGATCGTTGCCAACATCGCTACTGTTGCGGATTTGAACAATCTCATGGAGAAATTCTGGTCGCTTGAAGAGGACAGCTCAAGAACTTGTTACTCGGTGGAGGAAACTGCATGTGAAGAGTACTTTCGTCGAACGGTCTCTCGAACTCCCGAAGGTCGTTACATCGTTTCTCTGCCTCTGAAGGAAGACATTCTCGCTAACCTCGGCGACAATCGTCGTACTGCTATTCGTCGCTTTCGTCTCCTGCAAGGTCAGCTCACTCGAAACGATGAACTCTGCAAACAGTACCGAGATTTCATGGACGAGTACGAACAGCTAGGTCACATGGAACTTGTGCAGGATTACCAGCAACCATAACAGCCTTCTTACCATCTTCCCCATCATGCCGTCATACGAGAGGACAGCACCACTACGAAAGTACGCGTGGTCTTCGACGCGTCGTGCCGTACACTGAATGGACCATCCTTGAACGACGCACTCATGGTCGGACCTATCGTGCAGGAAGACCTGCGATCAATTACAATGCGATCCAGAATCCACCCGGTCTTGCTCAACACTGATGTCAAGCAAATGTATCGGCAGATTCTGACGGACCAACGTAGCAACAACCTGCAGCATATCGTGTGGAGTCCGTCTCCAGAAGCCCCTCTACAAACATACGAGCTGAAAACCGTTACTTACGGTACCGCTAGCGCTCCGTTTCTTGCTACACGAGTGCTGCAGAAACTGGCTGATGACGAGCAGAACGATTTCCCCGAAGCTGCCAACGTTCTTCGTAAGGACTTTTACGTCGACGACTTGTTTTCCGGAGCGAACACGATAGAAGAAGCAATCACTCTACGCAAGCAACTAGAATCTCTTCTCAAAAGAGGAGGATTTGAACTACGGAAATGGGCTTCAAATGAACCAGCGGTAGTAGAAGACGTCCCGACCGAGAACAGGGCTCTCAAGTCATCGGTCGACCTCGACAGGGATCAGTGCATAAAAACCCTTGGGCTGCACTGGGAACCAGCCACCGACGTTCTTCTAGTCTAGTCTAGTCTAGTCTACACATACACAGCCAGTACTTGAAAGAATCCTGGAAAATGATAGAAATACATCTATCATTTTTCTTGTCATTATTAATGCCTGCTGCACATCAAGGATGTGAAACAAACAATAAAGCGGCCAGGCCTACTGTGTAGCGTTTAGTTAATTTTTGTGGAAGTGAATGTTTAACATGTCTACTTACTAAGTATAGACAGTGGTTAACATTTAATCCACAGGTAATCAAAGAGTGGGGACATACCGTACCAACCGCTCCGTATGCAAGATTTGAAAATAGGCTATATAAATCGTTGGGAGTGACAGAGCTAAGAAAGTTAATGTACACTCCTTGGTTGTCCGATCTCCTGGGATGGAACAGCACCGAGAAAGGCATATGTGGCTGTTTTCGTGTGCTTCTGTACAAAAGCCGGGCATCTGGAATTGGTGGTTGATTTGAGCACAGCGAGGTCTCTGTTCCGAAATCTACAGCGACAATGGACGAAATTTTGTAGGAGCTGCCAACGAATTACGTCACCTACTTCGCAGTCAAGAACATAAAGCTGCAGTCGCCGAAGAATGCACGAAAAACGGGATAAAATGGCACTTCAGTCCGCCGAAAGCATCTCACTTTGGCGGACTGTGGGAAGCAGCAATTGCATCGGCACAAAAACACTTTTTCCGAGTACTGGGACCTCACACATTGGCCTTCGACGACACTGAAACCCTCCTCGCTCAAGTAGAATGCTGTCTAAATTCCAGGCCAATCGTTCCAGTCAGCGACGATCCAAGCGATTTTGAGGCGCTCACACCCGGTCACTTTCTCACTGGTTCCGCCTTGAAAGCTGTGCCGGACTCCGATTATTCTTCCGTTCCGTACAATCGTCTTCGTCACTTTCAGCAGATTAAAAAAATCCTCCAAGATTTGTGGCAAAGATGGCACAGTGAATATTTAACAACCCTCCAGCCGCGAACGAAGTGGATAAAGGGTGATACGGTCAAAATTTGGTCAATATCAACTTGACGTATTTCTTTCAATTTTGCATTTAAAAAACCTGAACACCCCTCATTTTGAAGGTGTGTGTGTGTAGAATGTTGCTCCTATTTTGATTTTGGAATTCACTCTTCAGTTGTCAAAATGCCGTCCAAGCAAGAAGAGCAGCGTATCAAAATTTTGCTCGCGCATCGCGAAAATCCGAGCTACTCGCACGCGAAGTTGGCAAAATCGCTAAAAGTTGCCAAATCAACCGTTACAAATGTAATTAAAGTGTTTGGGGAACGTTTGTCGACAGCCAGGAAGTCTGGATCGGGGGGAAATCGAAAACCGGAAGCCGCTGAGACGACAAAGAGAGTTGCCGGTAGTTTCAAGCGAAACCCTAACCTCTCTCTCCGAGATGCCGCAAATAAGCTGGGTGTATCGTCTACAACCGTGCATCGAGCCAAAAAACGAGCCGGACTATCGACTTACAAGAAGGTAGTGACTCCAAATCGCGATGATAAACAAAATACGACGGCCAAAGCGCGATCCCGGAGGCTGTACACGACGATGCTGACGAAGTTTGACTGCGTGGTAATGGACGACGAAACCTACGTCAAAGCCGACTACAAGCAGCTTCCGAGACAGGAGTTTTATACGGCAAAAGGAAGGGGAAAGGTAGCAGATGTTTTCAAGCACATGAAACTGTTCGCAAAGAAATATCTGGTTTGGCAAGCCATCTGTACCTGTGGCTTGAAAAGCAGCATTTTCATAACTTCCGGGACTGTCAACCAAGAAATTTACGTGAAAGAGTGTTTGAATAAACGTCTGCTGCCTTTCCTGAAGAAACACGGTTGTTCCGTACTGTTTTGGCCGGATTTGGCATCTTGCCATTACGGTAAAAAGGCCATGGAGTGGTACGCCGCCAACAACGTGCAGGTGGTTCCCAAGGACAAGAACCCTCCCAACACGCCAGAGCTCCGCCCAATTGAGAAATACTGGGCTATTGTCAAGCGGAACCTAAAGAAGACCAAAAAAACTGCTAAGGGCGAGCAGCAGTTCAAGGCAAACTGGCTTTCTGCGGCGAAGAAGGTGGACAAGCCTAACTGAATATTTTTCCTGAATTTTATACTAATTGAACTTGAAAAAGAAATTTAATTTGATTTTTTAAATAAACGATTTCACCGATTTACACGCGTTTTCCCTTGACCAAATTTTGACCGTATCACCCTTTAAATCCATCGACCACAATCGAAACTGGACGGCTGGTTATCATCAAGGACGAGAATGCTCCTCCCATGCGCTGGAGAACAGCTCGAATCGTCGAACTTCACCCTGGGACCGATGGAATCGTTCGTGTCGTCACTCTCCAAACATCGCACGGAAAATTCACTCGACCGGTGTCCAAAATATGCTTGCTGCCGATTGCACCATCACCGCTGAATGAAAACCATTCGTCGTCTAATCCACTGCTCACCGAAGAATCTCCAACCAACCAGCACTAATTGGATATGATCGTCCAAATCAATCTCCAATGAAGAGGACCTGCAATAAATTATACAAGGCCCTTTTTTCAAAGGGACAAGGTGAGAACCTGTCCAATTCATTATATATTTGCGAAACCCGCTACCGGGTCTTCTGTTTTCTTTTGCCAGCAACAGCAACAAATAACAATCGTCGTTCAGTAGACCGACAACAAGATGACGTCTATCACCAAAACATCGATCACGAAAAATCGGAACTACTCAACGAACGGACAGGGCAGAACACAGACCGATTTGTACCTTCCTTAAAAGTTGTCCTAGCTCGCTTTTCTAATATCTATATACAATCTTCACACTGCCGTACTCTAACGGAACTATCAACTCTATGCTTTCATCTACTCCATCTATCGTATAAAAATTACCACTAAA